TGGATGGATGGATGGATGGATGGATGGATGGATGGATGGATGGTTGGATGGGTGGTTGGGTGGATGGATGGATGTATGGTAGGATGGGTGGGTGGATGGATGGATGGTTGGATGGGTGGGTGGGTGGGTGGTTGGAAAGGCTGACTTGTGGCAGTTCCTCCTACCTCTCTTTACGGGCTTCTCTAGTCCCAGTGAGTTCCTCCGTCCCTTACCGTTTCCATGTCTGCCCACAGCCTACGGCCAGGCTGCTGAGAGTTGCAGGCAGTTGAACTTCTGGAATCAAGTGTTGTGACTGCCCAAGGACTCCTTTTCCCTGGCAGGAACCCCTCAGACATTCCCATCACTGTTGCCATCTTCTTATCAGATTCCTTATGATCATTTATTGTGCTTTGTGCATGTTTTTATAAATACGGTGTTTTTCTAGCAAAAGGGCTTTTCTGATGAAAGAGAAGAAATTGATGGTGAGGCTTGAGGGACCAAAGCAATAATCAGACTTGTCATTTACTGAGTCTTGACTTTGTGCCCACTCCATCCACAGTGATTAGCCCATATTATCTCCTTTAATCAATCCCCTGAGCTAAGTACTATTATTATTCCCGTTTTTACAGGCTTAGAGGAGCTAAGTAACTTGCCTATGGTCACGCAGTTGGTAATTAGATGCCCCAGGACTTGAATCTGCCTTGCCCCTGTGCAAGGCAAATGCTCTTAACACCACTAAGATGGCCTTAAGAGCTTTGATAAGATCAAACAAGGGCCCTCAGATTTGAGGCTCACCCAGGTGTGGTGTTGGGATCATGGGCCTGGAAGCCAGGTTTGAGCAATGGGGACCCCCTGCAGTGGAAATCAGCAGAGTGTGCTCTGTGACACTCCCATCCTCTATCAACGCCTCAGGCCAGTGTGAGGGTGGGTGGGCCCTCACTGAACACAGAGCTTTGACTAACATCATAGCATCAGGACTTTGCCTGAGGCTAAAAGATATCTTTGGAAGCTGTGCTGGTAGAAAGGTCGGCATTAACTCAATTTCTGCTTCTGGAGAAACTTACAGGTTATTTAGTCGCAGTGGAAATGAATCTTCGCCTCTGCTTTTTTTGGCTAGAAAGAAGGCAATGTGTCCCTAGGACTGTTGAAAGACTTTTGCACCAGTAAGAGTGGACTACATATGTGCTGGCAAATTTGCATCTGAGCATGGGAATTTGGCACTTTGGGTGTCACAGATGAGATCTCAGGCCAAGAAAGGGGAGCCCTTTGGCTTTCATCCAACCCTGAGCTATCCTCTCTCTCCTGGAAGAGTTATCCAGGAATGTCCCAGAAGAAAAGGAGTGATGGGTGCTCCTGGGAGCACTCAGTCAGGAGCAATTTGGAATGGAGGCCACCCCCTTTCCAGGCCTCCAGTGGTGGTGGTGGTGTGGAGTGTCGGGGCTGGCTTTTCATAGAAACAAAGACTGGTTTGGACAACAGCCTATGGATATTTCCAGATGGTGACACTGAATGATGATGATGTGGGAGCAGGTGGCTGAAGGAGGTTGAATCTTTTATGCCTTGAAACACAAGGGTAAAAGATGCCCAACTACTTGGCCTTGTGAGGGAGAAAGTGGTCTGGAAGCAGAGACTATAGATAAGGGACTAACGGAGCTGTCTGCAGGGCAGCCCGGACAGGGAAAGGAGGGAATCAGTGCACATTTTCCTGCTCCAGCCTTCGGTGTAGTCTGAGTGTCCTTCATTTCTCCCCGTCTCCTCTCCCTGCTCAAACCCATGCCCATCCCTGCCATGTCCTCCTTCCAGCTTAGGAAGCAGGCAGCTCAGACAGCCCCCCTTCTAGGGGGAGTCTCTGACCCGTGTGGCCCTTGCTGGACGAAAAGCCCTAGCTCTGTACTGCAAACATCGCACTAGCCCCAATGGTATGTGATTTTGTGTGTCCACCCCCTTTCTCTTGAGCAGACCCCCCTTGAGAGAAGAAACTGTGTGTGTCTGTCGTCTGTGTGTGCCCAGCACTTATCCCGGTGCCTGGCACGTGGTGGGCACTTTCCAATAGAAGCTGCTATTCACGTAGTATTTTAGCCTAAACCATTGCCACCAGTGGGAGGTGGGCGGGGGGCGGGGGGAGTATGGGGGAGTTTAAAACCAGACTTCACCCCAAGCTGGCCCTGGTGCTAGTCCCCGAATGCCTTCCCCTGCTAAATGTTAGCATTCAAACAAGTATTTTTTGAGCACCTGTCACACACACTGGCACTTTTCTAGACACTTGGTCACATCAGTGTTCGGAACTAACAAAAACCTGGAGTTCACATTTTGGTGGGAAGAGAGGTGGAGTGCAGGCAGTGAACAGTGTGTCCTTATGAGCAAATGCTAGAGCATGTTAGAATGATAGGTGTCTGTTAAACTGTGGAAAGAAAGGAAGTAGGAGAAAGGGCAGAACCACTCAACCTCTAAAGTGATGTTTTCAGGGTTAGTAGAACTTAGGCAGGATGAAAGGGACCAGGGGACAGACAAAGGCTCCTTCGGTAACAGTGACAAACTGGCTGAAGTAAAAGGGGGATTTACTATCTCACTTAACTAAGAAGTCCGTGTTAGCCTTGGACACAGCAGGATCTGGGGGCTCAAACAATGATGTCAGGGCTCTCAACTCTTGGTTCTGCTTTCTTCTGTTGACTCCGTTATCTGAGAAGCCCATGTCAAGGATGATAAAATCACCAACACAGCTCCAAACTCACCTCCTATTCCCCTGAGCAGGATTGGCGAAAGAAGAGCTTCTTTCCTTTGCTCTGGCACAGGTCCGGGCTGAGCTCTGACTGACCCTCCTCGGGTCCCATGA